TATTTTCTCATATCTTAATCAGAATAATCTTAATAAAAAATAGTGTAGCATAATATAATAAATTATGTACAACAATATTATCTTCAAAGATTTACAATTGGAAGTTATGTTGAGAATGATTCAAAGTATTCGTTGAGATCGTATGGGCTGGATGCGATGGCGCTGGCGTATAAAGGCTGTGATGTGAGTGAGATTTTGCTCTGGAGAGTTCACTATAGCGATCCTGTTCTGGCGGAGCGACCAAGAGGACTGGTCGTAAGGAGAGAGATTTCCGGGAACCAGCAACACTCTGTGCTTCGTTTACATATCCTGGATTTACTTCACCTAAAGTAAAAAGAATATTTTAAAGATATTGTATTTGTAAAACATTAATTGTCTATGAGATATCGTGATGAAAATTTTTAAAGAGAATAAAAAAAATAAAAGAAATATCAAAAATAGATCGCAGAAATAATAAATTATTTTTTCTTTCAAATTCATTTTCTCAATTTTATAAATATGATAATCATAAATTTATTTAATTTATACAGACTTCAGTTGAAATTTAATTCTTATAAAAAAAAGACCTATACCTTTGTATAAGGAACCATTGTTGAATGGTTCTGGTTGAAGTCTGACATGTCTAGATGCAAGGATAAAAGCGAGTGCAGCCAAGGTAGCAGCGTCTAAAGCAGCAATCGCTGCTAACGGTATTGCCCATCTAACTGCACAAGCTCCTGGATTGTATCTGTTAAATATAATTATTAAAATACATTAATTTTTCCACTAAATTTTAATCGAAATAATAGTTCGTTCTGAACGAAAAATAAAATAATTGCATTTATCATTATTTAATTAGTAAGAAAATAACCATTTTAATGTTATTATTTTGATATTATATGTATTAGTTAGAATCAAAATAATAAAAATGATCAATTAAAAAATTGAAAATTAAATAATTATGAAGAACATATTGTATAAGAGATTAAATAAGCAGATATTTATTTATTAGAATATCTACCTGGATGCAGTTGCACCACAAACAGCTCGAATTAATGCTGAATCCCAGCCTAATGGATAAATGCAGACACCGATGGCCATAGATATTGCTGAAAAAATGAAAAGAATATTATTTTTTGGATAAGGATTATAAATGTGATTTAAACATTCAACAATAAATAAATTTCTAATTATGTTAAACTTTTAAATAATTTATATTAAAATTATTTTTTTTTTGAAGCTATAATTTGCCAAACGAGAATATGATTAACATGGTTGGCATTTCAATGAACTATCTCTTTTCGCGGATGTCATATTAGAGGTCAACAGTGAAAGGTAGGAGTCTTACTTTTCTCGTTTCGTAGAATAAAACTACTTTTTATGTAAAAAAAGATGAATGATAAAGTGATAAAAACCAAATTTATTAATTTGAAAACAACAATAAAAAATGTTGCCAAAATTTTAATCAACAATAAATAGTAATTTTTAAATAATATAAAAGATTAAATTAAATTTGTTAATAAAAACCTATGATATTTTTATAAATATTTTCGAATATGTAAAACATAAAGAATAAAATCGATATAGAAGTTATTCTAATAGAAATTATGACGATTACATGCAAAATTTTTGATACATTGTATATTACATGTATTTTACATATATTGTGTGTGTGAATATATATATATATATATATATACACATACATATATATACATATACATATACGTAATATATGAATATGGTATATATATATGTATTGTATAATCAATCTCTGAGATTAAAATGTTTACCTTCTATTCAGAGCTGATTCACATTTCAACCAACTTTCACTATCCGTATACGAAGCAGTGATGATTGTTACTAAATATTTTTAATTAATGATGATATTACTGTAAAACTTTTTCTTAAAATTTATCTAATTATTAAAATTCTTTAATAAAATAATTAAAAAATATAAAATAATATATTTTTAAATAAAAATATATATTATTTAATTAAAAATATTATATTTTTATAATGTT